AGGGGTCCCGAGAGGCGGGGCGGGGGGTCCCCGCGGGGCTCACCTGCATCACCACCTCCACCTCGTAGGCGTTGCCCTTGCTGCGCTGCTGGCCGCGGAACTTGGCGCCGCTGTAGAGCAGGGAGGTGGCGACCCCGGGCTGCGCCGTGTTGATGGGGGGCGGCGGCACCAGGCTGGCGGCGGCCCCGCGGCCTCGGGCTCCCCCCGGGCAGCAGCACTCGCTCCGCACCGGCATCTCGGGGGGGTCCCCGGGCGCCAGCGCGACACGGGCTGCGGGGAGCCGGCCCGGCCGCCTTACCGACCCGGGAACTCGCCGGTACCCCCGCCGCCTGGCTCAGGGCCTCCCGGCGGCGCCTCCGCACATGCTGATTGGCCCAGAGGGCGCTGCGGGGGGCGGGGCGCCATTCCCATTGGTCTATTGAAGCCACGTGGGCGGCTGCAATGCCCCCTGGGACTCGTAGTTTCCTGTAGGTCCCAGTGACGGTGCACTCGGAGGGACAAACTAGCGATTATGATGCTGATTGGACGTCGGTGAGCAAGATGGCGGCGCCCAGAGGCAGAGAGGTTAGCTGAGCAGCGGGTGTGAGGGGAAGGCAGCTGTTCCGCAAGCCGCGTCCGTGCGGCCCCTACAGGGAGCGGGAGAAGGGCCTAGAGCCCTTATACACTCTATAGGGTCGTACAGGGGATCCCGTGGGGGTCTGTCTTTGGGGCCCGGTGATCCCGGCGGGGGCCTTGGGGAGCCCATCAATCCTGGCGGAGGCTCTGGGGGGGGGGGCGTTGATCGGGGGGTTCCTCTGAGGGGGGCCGTTGATCCCGGTTGGGAGCTTTTTGTGGCGGCATTGCTCCCAGCCTGGGGTTCTTGGGGCGGGGGGAGGCGTTGATCCTGGTGGGCGGCCCCGAGTCACTAGGAGCCCAGGTCTTTAACAGGGCCAGATTGTCCCCATCGAGCTGTTGGTCGCTGCCTCCCGAGAATGTGGCGCCGTTGTCAGCGGCTGTTCTACGCCTGGCCGCCCCAGACCCCACGGCTCTGCCCGACTCCTCCCTTTGGGGGCCCCAGGCTTTCACTGCCGGGCACGGCACGGACATACACCCCGCCGACAGGTGAGGACAAAGCTGGACAGCGATCCTGCTGCACACGCGGCAAATTTCAACATGCTCACGTCCACATTGCAGGGACGTTCGTCCGTGGTGGATTTAGCCAGTCCTAAAAGCTGGCTGCAAACACAGTTTATGAGAGGGGCATGATCCCCTATTTACAGAGGAGGACTCTGGCTTGTGGGCCCCAACTGAACCTTTGTAGCAGTAGTTGCGGAGACCCAGGTATTTCAAGCCTGACAAGGAACATTTATTATTCACATATGTGCAGGGCACTGCAGAGGCAAAAGAAAACCACATCCCTGCCCCAGCTTGAAGTCTAATGCCTCATGCCTGCTGCTGTGCCTGCGTTCGGCCTCACAGATGCAGCAGTGAGCACGTGCTATCAGTTCTATTTTAGGTACTGCTATTACCTCAGTCACCACGGTAGCCGAGTACCTCACATTGTTTAATTTATTCCTTCTCACAATCCCCCTGTAAGGTTAGGCAGTGCTGTGATTCCTCACTTTGTAGACGGGGAACGGAGGGAAAGAGAAAACGAGGTCACACACAAAGTCTGTGGCAGGGCAGCGAATCAAATCCAGGTCTCCTAAGTCACAGGCTAACACCTGCACCACTAGTCCATCTTTCCTTAGTTGTAGAAGTGGCGCTTTAAACATCTTTCCCCTGTGATTTCAGTGGTTTCTACGAGGATGGTGAAATTTGACCCTTTGTTTCTCACAAGCCAAGACCCTGAACTGGCAATGAAATGCATGTCCTGGAGCCCCATTAAAACAGGACTAGGGGGTGTGTCTTGTTGCAGGATGAAGGCCTTGGGCGCATGTTTGAATAGTCCTAACAACATGGCATTCTTTAAGTCCCTTGATCCTGCAACTGGCTTGGTCTGGGCAGACGCCCTTTGCCTTCACTGGGACTCTGGAAACCCAGGGGCCTGCGTGTGCAGTCAGATGTAGGAAGGGAGCCATAGTCCAGACCCAGTAAGGACATGGGTTTGGAGAGGTAGCCCATTCTCCCTGCTTTGTGTGGGAAATGGAGCCAAGTGTCTGTCTGTCTGTCTCTGTAAGTGGTCCAGTCCTGTGTTAACACAGACTCGGATCTGGATTCACACTACAGACCCGTAGCTCCCAGTTTGGAACTTGTTTATCTGCTGTGCTCTGCATGGCCTCAAAGAGCCTGTCTTCCTATGTTCATATATTACTACATTATAAAGCCAGATGGAACCACTGTGATCATCTAGTCTGGCCTGCGTAACAAAGGCCCTAGGATTCCCTTGAATTCATTCATTAATGTCGCGTGTGGTTTTTGTTTGGAGCGGGGAATACTGTGGGTGTGACGGCTGTCAGCGCCAGGATCTAGCTGTGTTACGTGTGGGCGCAGTCAGGGAATTAGCAGGTGCCGTTCATGCCATTTAGAAGTCTAATGGTTGTGCCTGGCAACAGTGCAGGTGCCAAATGGAAACTGCTTCTAAAACTGGGGCCTGCAACCCCTAGTGGTAGATTTGCTATTGCACCAGGTGGGCTCCTGGACATAACAGGTGCAGCTGGGAGGGAGATCCTCCGTTTAAAGGCCTGGAGAAGAGCAAAGAGATCAGTGCTCCCCCAGTATATTAAATTGCATGCTGCAGTATACCTGGCATCTACGTGAACACACTCAGGACATGGCTTCGTGCGTTGTGGGCAATGCTCCTGGATCCAGCCAGAGGGCATTCAGGGCAGGATGACAGGCTAGCTTGTTGCTGTAATTGAGGGGCTATTCTAGACTCAGGCACATCATTGGCTTCCGTCTGAAATCACACCCGAGGGAGCCGTTTTAAAAGCTGGCTGGATATTGGTGACCCACCTAAGCTCCATGGGAGTTGTAGCTCCTGCTGATTGGAGTTGCTGCATCACTCCAGCAGGTGGAACAGCTTTGACCAGCTGAGCAAAGGTCCTGACAGGTCACATAACTTTTGTTTCCAAGACAGTGTCCAGAGAGCTGGTCGACTGACCCAGAGCTAGTTTAATATTCAGTCCGGCAAAGAGGGGGCTTCGGTGGTAGGGATTGCACCAGCATGTATTCCAGGCCTGCTCTGTGCCCTGGGGTCTCACATCTCTTTAATATTATCATCTGTCATGTTTATTATAATAGTACCTATGGGCCAATCAAGGGTGGGCCCCCACTGTGCAAGGTGCTGGACATACACAGAGTAGCAGATGGTCCCTGCCCCAAAGAGTTGACAGCCTAATTAGACCAGACAGATGTGAGTGGGGCAGGTAGAAGAGTCAAGCAGAGTGGACACTGGGGTGACAGCAAATGACATGTTAGTGCCACGTTTTGTTTGTTTTTGTTTTGTTTTTTTGTGGTGGGTTTAGTTAGGAACGGATCAGCTAACTGGAGAGAAAAGGGCAGGGCAGGGGAGAAGAGGGGCCAGTGTGGAGAGAAACAGGTGAAGAGACTGGGAGAGCAGGTTGGAGCAAACAGCTGATCAGCACTGGCACAGACAGTCCAGTCAAAATTGCTGCAAATTCTCTGAGTGTCCTGCTTCGGCTTTTCCTGCCCTGATCAGCTGGAGTCTCTGGCTCCTCCTCCCTACAGGTGTCCCCCCAAGGCCACCTGGTGTGAGGGAGGAGAAGCAGCACCTGGTCCTAGTGCCTCCAGAGTAAACCGCATTTGAGAGCTGTATGTAGAAAAAGATCTGGAGTGCGTAATAGGCCAACACCGTATTCCTCTGTTGAAATACACAGGACACGGATTGCTTTTAGGAGGGAGGGAGTCGAAGAATGGTGCTATAAGTTGGGTGTCTTCCTTCTACCTGGGCACAGTTGGGGCTTAGAAAGTGGGTGGGGGGAGGGGTTAAAACTAGAATGGATGCCCCAGATGCATCCCTGGGGTGACTCTTTGGCTTCAAGGGGCTCACAGCAGGGCTGAGCCGGACGCGTTACTAAGCCAAATAAGCCATAACACACCCGTCGATGTCATGCCCATTGCTTTGCGTATGGGTGCCACACAACAGGCATGAGACTACAGCTGGGCCTGGCGTGCTAGAGGGAAGCAGCTGCTCTGCTTAAAGAGGGGCCCCTGGTTCATGGTGAGGCCTCTCCCAGGACAGGCCTCGCACCAAAGCTCTGAGGCAGGTCCAGAGGGACTCGGGCACATGGGCTTGTGTAGAGGGACTCTGAACCAGCAAGGGAGGGAGGCCAGCTGTGCCATGCTCAGCACTGCCGAGGAGAGCCGGCATGTCAGATCCGCAGTGGGCGGGGATGAGGAGAGGGGCTTGACTGTCATTCTCGCTGCTTTCTGAGTGGATGTCATTTCCCCCCCAGAAAGGAAGAGGTTTTACCAGAACGTTAGCATCTCCCAAGGCGAAGGTGAGTGCTTCCGCCAGGAGTCTGGCGGGGTGTCCACACATGGCCCTTTGTGTGAAAACCGGGCACAGGGAAGGGTGGTTATGGAACGCAGGCCCTGCCTACCGGCGGATGCTGGCCAGGCCTGGAAACCAGATCTTGAGAGCCAGCTTTGTCACAAACCTGGTTTGCCCTTTCCCCATTGGCTGGCAAAACCATGGGAAGGGAAATGGCTTCCAAGAATGGAAATTCTTTTCTGGTAGAGCGGGGCCCCCAAGCCCTTCAGTGGGGAGACTCCTGGCCCAGGTGTATCACTGGCCTTGCCCGGGGATGAGTTTGCCCCCTTCAGCTTAATCTCTGAATCTGCCCCCTGCCTGGGGGTTGCACGTGGATCCCTCGTGTGCTTTACCCTGGAATCCCGCTGGGTTTCTAACCTGATCCCCCAGGTGGCTTTGAAATAAACCTGGACCACAGGAAGCTGAAAACGCCCCAGGCCAAACTCTTCACTGTCCCCAGCGAGGCCCTGGCTATTGCTGTTGCTACGGAATGGGATTCCCAGCAGGACGCCATCAAGTCCTACACCATGCATCTGGTGAGCGCCGTGGGCTTTGGTGGAAGGGGAGCCCCAAGGTGGGAAGGAATCTAACAAGTGGTTTTGCTGGGGCCATTGCTATGGACAGCCTCATCTTGGATAAAGGTGGAGCATAGCCTGCTGGGAGTTGTAGTCTGTGCGGGCCCCATCTCTGAGCTAAATACATAAACTAGATTGATGTATAAAGGAGCTGAGTCTAGTAATTTTTTTTATACTTTCTTGGCTTTTGCCTGACCCACAGTGCTGGGGCAAAGCATGCCTCACCCGTTAGTAGCTATTGGGTCTAGCCCCAGGATGAAAAACTGCCCCCTAACATGGGCCAAACTCCCATGTGGATGGGACCTGACTCGCAGCTGGAAATGCTTCTCATCCAGATTCTTTTACCTCAAGGCCTCCAGCATGCTCCCGTCCTGTCACTGCTCACAGGAGCACTGTGTTTGTGGGCCTGATCCAAAGCTGGGAAGATTCCCATCGCCTCCAGTGGGCTTGGACTCATTCACCTCCCGGGCTAGGTTTTGCATCACTATCCCTTAATCTGTCGCTAGCACAATAAGGATTCTTCAGCTGTTGTCTGGGACCTTGTAAAATCAGAGCTGCCGCCTCCCCAGGACTCTGCCTGGTGTAATTGCCTTTTGTTTTGCAGACCACATTGTGCAACACAGTTTTGGACAACCCATCTCAGCGAAACAAAGATCAGCTAATCAGAGCAGCTGTGAAGTTCCTGGAGACAGATACTGTCTGGTAGGAAACTGAATGGACTTGCAATTCACTAGGGAAACCTCTGGCTTAGAAGCCAGGCCAGTCTCATTGCATTATTATGGGTTATTACATTTTCCAGCTGGGCAGACCGGAAGGGTGACTAGAGGTTTGGAAACACATTAAGCTGGGTGACTGGTTGGCACAAGTACAGCCTTTGGGACAGACGCCCTGGCTTGAACAATGCATCTGCCCTTCTCTTTCTGTAGTGGTACAGCCCTGGCAATGACCCCAGTGTGTAGTACATCCCCTTGAGCCTAGTAGCCAGTGTGGATCAGAGGACAGGCCCCTTCTGAAAGGGGACCAGCACAGAGCCACTCCTTAGGGGTAGAGGAGCAGAACTCACTCATAGTGTCAACATACTGCCACCCCTTCTCCCCCAAGCTCACAAACCCCAGGGAGATTTCACCACCTGCAAGGGGGGGCCAGTTCAGCCCTGGCGTGATGGGGTTCAGCTCCATTGAGACTTTGCCCTAGGCCTGAATTGCTCCCCACAAGATGTTGCTGTCTGTAAGAATTTGGCAGTGCAAGAGTCTTGGATTTAGCTATAAGGAGCATGGCAGTTTCCGTGCTCGGCCTTAACACCTGGTTTGCTCTAGAATTCCTTTCTATTGTATTTTATTTTTTCACTGAACCCATCGGCCTGCCCTGTTGAACTCCAGGAGCTCCGACCAAGGGATCGGAACTGTCTTTGAAAACTGCAAAGAAAAACTTGTGGCGCCGAGTCTCTGAGCCCAGGTCAATTGACTTGGGCTCTTGCTGTCGTGTAGACATTCGGGCTGGACCGTGGGCTCTGAGACCCTCCCCCCTTGCCAGATTTTGTGGAAGTGTTTTTTTAAAACAGATCGCTAACAAGTTTGTGCTTCAGGGGTCAGTGCCCCTACTCTGACCACTGGACAGCACTTAATCCCGCTGCTGATTTAGGGCCTGATCCAGTGTGCACTGAGGTTGACTGCTGGCCCATTTGGTAGCAGACAAGTCAGTGGCCTTCCCTGTGCCTCGGTTTCCCCATCTGTAAAACTGACTCATCTTTAGTCAAAGTGCTTTGCGGCCTGTGGCTGCAGAGGTCTCTCGTGGTGTGAAGCAGAGCTGTAGGCTGGCACTCCAGTGGGCTGTGAACAGCCCCCACAGTTATGTCAGGAGGGCACAGGCACAGACCTGGAATTGATATCACAGCATCAGGCCCTAAATTTGGGCAGGGCTGTTGGAGCAGCATCCCTCCATACAGGGATCAAGAGCTGGCTGGTTGTCTGTCCAGCAGAGGGCTCTGGATCTGGGGGAGGGTCATCAATGGAAGCTCTTCCTTTCCTTAGCCGGCAGCATCTGCTCACTTGCAGGTTATGGTCGGTACCTGCTCTTCAAATACTGGGCTCCCCTTGCCGCCCCCGAAACAGGCTTAGCTGCCCGGTGGGTTTGCTCCACGTACTGCGTGAAGAAGGCCAGTGATTTGTCAGTGAAGGCTGTTTTCTTGTTGCAATGGTCTAGCTACAAGGTGGAGGAGCCAGCCGGCCTAGTAGAACTGCAGAAGAATGAATGGGATCCCATGATCGAGTGGGCTGAGAAAAGGTAAGAAGTCAAAGACTTTTCCCTTCTTGTTGCTAGCTGCCCTCTCTGTGGTATTCCAAGGGTGCTCATCACTGCACTATCCGAAAACCAATCATGCTGGTGACAGTTTAGTTCACGAGGTAGCCTGGGGCCAGCCCGTTGGGCCATGGAAAGAGGCACTGTGGGGTACTGAGGAGGCTTTGGAGGGCAGAGACTGTACCTAAGGGGTGTCAAGTCTCCAGCAGCGAGGAGCTGCTGTTGGCCAGTCTCCAGCGTGATGTCTTGGTGACCCCTTCACGGTGTTTCTCAGCCCATTGAGGAGAAAGGGAATTAGGCTTGTAAATTCCATAAGCAAGACCAGATGTTGCTGCACATGCAACATTGCACTGACTGGCTCTGTGAATGAATTAGAGCGGTGCAGTGTGGGTAGGAAATGTCCCCACATAGACCCCGAGGGGAAAAAGCAGGTATAACCCCAGCTGACATCCGTAAGGGCCGTATCTGCTTACGCCAGGGCTAAATTTAGCCAGAGGCTTGCTTCATAATGATACTGAGGCTCACGTGCCTCCATGACCAATCGTTTGTCTGGTACCATCTAACTCATTCCAGGTACAACGTGGAGATCGGCTCCTCTACTAGCATCCTGGGACCCAACATCCCAGCCAGGACCAAAGACACTTTCACCAGCCATTTGGCATCTTACAACACGTGGGCACTGCAAGGTACTGAGGACGACTTATCTGGTGTGTCCGTCCCTCCAGGGTACACGAAGCACCGTTCGCATATATGCCTTTTCCTCTCAGAGCAGTAACCAGCACAACAAAAACGTTTTGGGGAAGGAAGGGAGACTTGAAATCAGTGGGGGAAAACAAAGGGGGATTGTAGTTTAAAAGAAATAAATCCAAGCTAGACTTTTAGCTCTAGCTCTGTATGGCAGGGGGTCTCTCTTCACTGTACAGGGTCTTGTTGTATTAGGCCCTGATTCTCTCAGAACTACTGACATCTATTTTTTTCCTCAACATGACATTTTCAGGTGATTTCGGTCCAAAATGTAGGCTCTGTTACCAAGAAAAGAGGTTTGAAACCCCAAGTGCACAGAAACGATTTTATGGTTTCGTGACTTCCCACCCCCAGTAAATGAAAACCCCTTGAGTTTAGATTTAAAATGTAAGAGCTGTGGTTATTGGCAGCCCAGCTGTTCTACTCTTGTGCAACTGAACGAGATCCAGAAAGTGAATGTGACTGGAAACGAAGGTGAAACTAACTAATCAGTTCTCATTGCTCATCCTCCTTGAAGCGCAAGATGCGAATAAACAGCAAAAATGGTGAAAAGTGCCCAAGACTTTAAAAATTCTTTCAGGTCAATGGTAAATATTTTAAAATGGATTTTTACCCCGACACATCCCCTCTTTATTCCTTGTGTCATTCTCCTTTCAAAATAAAGATGTTTTAAACAAAGTAGACTAGAAACCCACCGGAATCCCTGGCTACCTCGTCAGAAGACAATGAGAGACACCGAATTCCTAGTAGAAAAGTGTGCTCCCTGTTCTGATTTCAGGGCCTCCAATCCTTCCTGCAAACATTTCTGATCACCTTTTGTTTACAGCTTCTGTTTGGGGTAAGGTCAGGGGTGCTTCTTTTAGTTGGTATTTTGGCACGTCTGTCTTCAGCTGGGGAAAGCAAGGCCCCAGGCCCCAGCTGTTATATTCCTGGGCAGTCAGTTGACTATTGATCCCAAATCTGGCCTTGACTCTAGCTGATCACTTAGCTTCGATTGAGCATGATTCATGCTGCTTTGTCTCCCCGCTTTGCCCTGTACATGGGCCTGATTGTCAGTGGTGCTCAGCACCTCCAGCTGTCACAAATGCTCATCATCTCTGCAGATCAGGCCCCTTTTTCTCTCTCTCCCTCTCCTAGACGGTTGTGTGTGTTCTCTGATCTCATCCCCAGCTCTTTAGCGGTAAGAGGTGAGCTCTGCCATCCTGCAGAAGGGAATCCTTCCACATTTGTATCCAGTGGTGTGGCGTTATTACGTTATAAGGGTGTGTTTCAGAATGAGAGAAAGCGGTTTGCAGTCAGAGATGCAGCCATTTGCATCAAAGTAACAATGGATCCTGATTAGCAACAGAAATTTCATGTGTTTATTAACTGTGGACTTGACTCTGTAGAGTGCATTGATCCAAGGTGTGGGGGATCATCTACCCGTCTGATCCTGCTGAACATGTTATGCCTGGGCTGCACCTTCAGAAGGTGTGAAGATGCCGATGTGATTTTGTATAACTAACTGTGGTTCATGTTTGATATTTTCCCCCCTCCCAGGTATAGAATATGTGATTGCCCAGTTGAAATCTCTGATTCTGTCCATGGGAGTGATTGACAGACACATTCCGGTAGAAAAAGCCGTGCTGCTGTCTCGCCTGGAGGAAGAATACCAGGTAAATTATGTTCCAGAGCAACCCTATCATTCAAATAGCGATAATCTTAGCATGACAAGTGATCTCCCAGCACAAACGACTGGCCACAGAACTGCCTGCTATTACAGGAAGAACAGGAGTACTTGTGGCACCTTAGAGACTAACAAATTTATTAGAGCATAAGCTTTCGTGGGCTACAACCCACTTGTGCCACAAGTACTCCTGTTCTTTTTGAGGAGACAGACTAACACGGCTGCTACCCTGAAACCTGCTATTACAGGAGACGTTCACTCCACCAGGCTGCCTCTGGTCAATATGGTTTGAGTGTTCAGCCAAGTCACGTGATGAACAGCCAAAGGCGCTCTGAGTCCAACCTGCTGAGGGCTTTGGATTTCTTTCGCAGAAATTGGACTGCTGCTTTTCGGCCCTCCTCCAACCCACAGTGCAAAGCCCAAGGATGGTCTTTATTCTGTGTATTGGCCAGGCCTAAGCACTTTGCCAAGGACTAAGTTAACGCTAATGTGATTATTGTGAACAGAAAAAGCTCTGTCCTTGCACAAAACCATCCTTGACCCAAAGTCCAGTGAAGTTAATGGAAGTCTGATTTGAATGAGCTTTGGATCAGGCCCTAATACGTTGCCTTCTATAGCCCCTTTCACTTGAGGTCTCCGAGCGCTGGGCAGGCACTGGTTAGTGAGGCTTTAGTGCCACTCCTGGGAGGTATTATCTCTGTTTTACAGACAGGAAAATGGAGGCCAAGAAGTGCTGAAGTCCAAACCCCTTTCTAACGAACTTTTGAGTGAGCTGCTTGTTCTCTCTTCTCTCAGATCCAGCGGTGGGGCAACGTGGAGTGGGCCCACGACTATGACCTGTACGAGCTGCGTGCCCGCACGGCCGCCGGGACCCTCTTTGCTCACCTTTGTTCAGAGAGCTCGACTGTAAAACACAAGCTGCTGCAGGACTGAGGCTCTGGGGAGCGACGCGACAGGCAGAGCCGGAGAATGCCCAGTACAGATTACAAATGCAGCCGGGTGGATTCGAGCCACTGGCCGGCAATCAGCGCCTGCCAGCATGGTGACTTAGCACTGAGAGGGCCATGACTTTATGATGATTCCTAGCGGAGGCATTTCTTCCCTAGCTTGGCTGGTGCTGGAGGATGCCAGTGACTCTCAGCAGCCCTGACTTTTGTTACAAAGGAAGTACAGTCTGAGCTCCCTTCAGCCCCAATTAAATGCCCTGTCCCTGGCCGTTGCCACAGGCTGCAGCTCAGCCAGTGTTTATGATCACTCAGAGGGGTAGCTAGTCTACATTCTACCCTCCAAGGCTCCCAGCCGTGGGGCCAGCAGCCTGGCAAAAGGGCTTCGGTAAGGCTAGGCACACACTCCAGCATAGGTCCCGTCTTGGCATCTGCCTGCCCATGGCCCACGTTTGTTGCTAAAATCCAAAGTCATATCCTTGGAGACAAGACCCAGCTGTACCTGTTCCTCACCCAGTAATGTGCTTCTGCCCCTGTGCAAAGCTGGGCTCAATCCCAGTTTGATTAAAGGCGTCTCCTGCTAGATACCGGAAGCCAGTGCGTGTGGTCAGTTATTTTGTACTTCCCCACCGCACTGTGGGATGTGCGCTGCCTCTCTGCCCAAGACAGCAGCAGAGCCATCACTGATTGACAGCTGTCTGCTTCCTCGCCCGCAGGCTTCGTCTGAGGATCTCCATGCTCAGTGCTCTGTCGCAAGCACCGGCTCGCCCGCCGAGGACTGGACAGGAGCTCCCCCTTGTCTTTGGACTAATTCTAACTCCCCAACTGTCTGAGGCCCTGATCCTGCAATGGCTTATGCACATGCTCAACGCTGAACTCGGAGCAAACCCACTGACTTCAGTGGGACTCCTAATGCATAATATGTATTGAGCAGGCACGTATGAGTTGTGGGATCAATGCCTATGCCTCACCAACCAAGCCTGTGCTGCAAAGTTCTGATCTCACCTGCCTCTCTCCCCCAAGTTCAGGGGTGTTTGGCCCCTGGGCTTTCATTTAGGCCTGTCTCTGAAGACTTCAGACTCTTAAAGGAAAAGAAAATGTCAGCTGGGCAGTTGTTATGCAACCTCCTATGAGCACGATCACCCCTGGAATCCTCATTTAGAATCCGCTTCGTTTCCAGTTAACACTTGGGGGAAATCAGTAGCGCCAGCACTTTCATAAGTGACCACAGACTGGGGGCCCCTTCATTTCTGGGTGCCCAACTACACGTGTAGAGCTTGACCTTCCAGAGGGGCTGAGCACTCGCAGATCCCATTGATTTCAGTTGGAGCCACGAGTGCTCAGCTCTGCCGAAAAGCCGGAGCCCGTGTGCAGCCAGTCAGGGCTGTTTCTCAGTGCCCAGGCGTGGGGTTAGCAATGACCAGAGGAGAGCCTGCTCTCACACCAGCCCAAGGGAGGACAGTGTTTTGTCAGCTAAACCAGAGCAACTGCAATCAGCCCACGGGCAGGGCTAGTGCCAGGAAAGGAGGAGTGGAAGTCTCGGGGTATTTGTCTCTTTCCCAAACAGTGCACTGCCACATCTGTTCCACAAGCATGGGTTTCCCTTCTTCCCCCTCTTCAGTGCCCTGCCTCCAGCAAGGAGTCCGAGCTCCCTGCCAAGCAAATGGAGCAGCTGCTGCTGAGCAAGGAGGGAAATTAATGACTCGGCACTGAGCAGCCGCAGGTGGGCTTCTGCAGAGCCACTGGTCTCCCTGCTGGTCAGAGGCCACTCTGAGCACACTGCAGGAAGCTGCCTTAGTGTGGGGCAGAGGAAAGAGGAGGCTACCGGTGTGCAGAGCCTCAAACCTCCGGCTTGCTGGGCCAGAAACCCATGATCGTTAGGGAGGCGGCGGTTAGTCCGATGGAGAGTGTTCTCTTCCCCATCACCGCCACATGCCAGCTGCTGCCCGAGTCCCAGACTCCTACCACTGCCCGCAGGTGACAAAGCTTCCAGGCCTGGCCTGGTGGTGGAGAATCGCAGCTCGATCTGCTGTTTGTGAGCCGGCTTTGATTTGCACCATAAGTCTCAGGGCTTCAAAGTGAACTCCTCAGCTCCTCTTTAAGAGCTTTTCCAAACTCAAATGGTATTTTTATTTCCATATGATTTTTTTTTTTGGGGGGGGGGGGGGTGACACCCCAGGATGAAACATCCCCACCAGTGAGTATTTACAAGGGGGCTGTCAGAAAGGGCGAGGCGCACCTGTTAGATCACCAAGGCCTGTGTCCTAACAGGGGAGCCACTGTTGGCCTACTCCATCTGCTCCAGGCTTTCCATGTTGTCCAGCTCCTCCTGCAGATGGTCGATGTATTGATTAATCTCTCTCACACGGTTGCGGTTTCTGTTGAGCTCATTCTTGTGAACCTGAGGAGAGTGTGATCGGACAGTGAGTCCTAGGGCTTATTTCAAACCTTCAGTCACCTGCTGTTGCCAAAGGGCCCAGCAGAAAGTTAGGAGATACCTCCCCCCAGCCCCTCTGACTTCCTGGCAGTGGCCCAGCTACAGTGGCTGGACCCTGGTGCCTCTCTGCCCGCTGCGCTAGGAAGCAGCTGCAGGCCAGTGTGCTTTCATGGCCTTGCTGCTTGTCTTTTCCCTAAGCAGGGTTTTGCTCCCCGAGCCGCAGGGGTTTCCTTACCTCCTCGATCACCGAAGATGACCAGCTATTGGCTTTGGTGACGATGTCATCCTCTCTGTTATCGATCTTCAGCAGGTGGATATCGTGGGAGGCATTCACTGCGTTGACGATGGTGTCTTTGTCCACAAAAAGCTAGGGAGTGAAATTGACCGAGCGATGGGAGATGTGGATTTTACATATAAATGCAGCAGGTCTCAAAACTAGATGTGTCGCAGTGCGACACTTAGTAGCACCATCAGAGAAGAAAATAAAAGCTCTCTCTGGTACATCTCATGCTGTTCAAAGCCCTGTACAAACTTAGCCTCCCTATAGCCTTGTGCAAGGACTATTTTACAGATGGGGAAACTGAGGCAGTGCTGAAGTAAGTTGCCAAAGGCTGCATAGCAAGCGAGAGCTGGGAGTAAACTCCTAACCCTATGCTCGTTCCTCCAGACAGTGCTGCCTTCCAGCATCTGGCAAGCCCATCTTGGCAGCTGTCAGTCCCGGGGAAGGCTGCATATGTTCCAATCTGCCTCTCCCAGCAGGTATAGTAAATGGAAAACTGCACTCAGAAGAGGTTGCTTTAACTGGTGGCATTTACTGTGTATCTTTGTTCTGGCACCACAACTTTGAACAGAGGCAGCAGCTTCCCCCTGAGATTTTAAATAGAGGATGGCTTCCTGCAGCCAAGCCTGCCTGTTAAACACCTGAAGATCACTTCTCAGTGGAGATGGACAGGAGTGAGGAAAACTTGGTATGGGGCAATGGTGCAGGCTGCACTCACAGTCCATAAAGCTGGGAGCTGCCCCTGCCCTGGAACAGGGCACAAAAGTCACTTATTTCCTTCTGACTTTACCTCCTTACAAGAGGTAAGAAATAATTACCTGTCACACCTGGTAGGCAGGGCACCAGCTCAGAGAATCTGCCATGCTAGGCTCGGAGCTGGCAGGGTGTTGGCTCAGAGGGGCCCTGGGCAAGCAGGGCAGTGGCTGAGAGGAGCTGTGGCACTGGAAGGGCAGGGCACTGGCTCAAAGGGACACTGACATGCCGTTTTGGATGTGTGAATTTCCCTTGCAGAAGCTTCTGCACTGAGCCAATCCCTAAAGAGTGATAGTAAAATTGGGACTAGACGTCTCCTATGAAACCATGCGCGAACCCCATTCACTCCTTAAGCACCTGGAGACATGAGCAGCGATTGGAACGGAGCTTAATAAAAGTGGTGGAAGCCTGGATCTGTTTATTTTTCAGCTGTAATAGAAATGTTGGAGGAGCAGTACATCTGCTCAGTGCTAAAAATGTGGATTTGTTTTCTGGGGATAAAGATGGGGAAACCCAGACTGACACATGTTAAA